CCTTATCATAATCTATCTGTGATCTTTGATTCTTATCAGACAATCTTTACTCATTTCTCCTCTCTCTTCCAACGCAATTGATATCTTCCCCAATACTCCGTTGATCCCTCTCTCCCGCTGCACTACTGAGGTACGCCCCCCTCTCTCTCTTTCTCTTTCACACACACATACACGTGCGCACTGTTAACACAAACCAGCACCGATTTGGATTTTATTAGGAGCAATAATCAAACATCTTTCCTCTCTCTCTCTCTCTCTCTCTCTCTCTCTCACACACACACACATTGTTAACATAGACCAACACCGCTCGCCAACTGGTGAATGCTTGAAATAGACCAAAACATGTTTGTCTTATCTCTCTCAATCGCTGCCACTTTCCTCTCTCTCTCTCTTTGTTCGTGTTCACGATTTTTGTGTGAGTGTGTGTTATTGATTTGTGTCTATGTGTGTGTGTTCGTGTTTGTGTGAGTGTGTGTTATTGATTTGTGTCTGTGTGTGTGTGTTCGTGTTTGTGTGTTTATGTGAGCATTTGTTAATGTCCCAATGCCTTCTATCCCTTGTTGCTTCTTTCTCTCTACTGCTCATCCATAAGCATCATCCCACACAGGTACACATTGTTTATCTCTCTGTAGTTGTCTCTGTCTCTGTCTCTCTTTACTTTTATATCGAAGGTCTTCAACACAACGTCGGGGAGGTGTTCGACCAAAGGCCAAAGAGGTAACCAAATTCTCCTACCTTCTGTGCACCACAACTCTCTGCGCACACAAACACACTCCCCAACTGCTGCCCTTTCTCTCACTGCATCTTTTCTCTCTCGCTGCTATTATCAAAAATTTCCCACAGCCACACCCACCCCACCTGATTATACACACACCATCCTTATTTTTTTGGCCTTTCTAATTTTCTACCGTAAGGCTTTCAGTGAGACTTATTACAAAGGATTTCAAGAACCTAAATCCCTACTTCCCTAATATTGATCTCTAGCTTTGAGCTCTAACCGTGGTATAGGTATGTTGGTTTGTTGTATGGTATTCTAAAATTGGGTCTAGGGTATTTAGTGAAATTGATTAGGCTACCAAATGTTATGTTTAATTAATCCCTGTTTGATCTAAAACGGCTTTTCTCATGGAGATCTATCAAACATCCAAGTGCAGGCAATAACAAATACTCAAGAACCTGAATTTTTGTGTAAGTAGTCATCTAGTGATGCATTCATGTGAGGTATGCTCATAAATTGCGGTATTTCTTTAAAATTTGTGGATTTTGGGTTGATTTTGCTTGGATAGTCATTAGGTGTAGTCCACAAATTTGGTGAAGGACTTAGCAATTGGAGTCCTATGGTTTCACACTCATCTTCGACCTGTAATGTCTTTACGACGCCCAATTTCCAAACTTACAAATTGTATAGTTCATAGTTATGTGTCCTTGGGAATAATTTAATGTAGTGGAAAGTTGATTTTTTTTAATATACTGCTCATTATTACAGTATTTTGGTTGATATCCCCTCTGTAATGACATTAACATCATGTTGTAAATTTAGTTTATATTTTGTGGATTTCAAGTGCATTGGATGGAAAAATAAGTTCTGATGGTTCTATTGCAATATCGTGGAATTCCAACAATTCAAAATACCTTTATAGTATCAACAAAGGGTATACCATCCATGGCCGAGTGCAAGGTATATGATTTTCTTCATGTTATGTGTCATTTAGTTTTTATTTTGATTTTTTGTTGGTTGTTTTCTCTCTATTTCAGGAGTAACCTATTTGTTGCATGTATTTTTTTTTCTTTTTCAATGTAAATTGAGTTTGACATTCTGAGGATAAATATTTTTTTAAGCAGTGATAACAAAAGCAGTTGAGCTAAGAATCACATAAATTGCTAGGGCTTTTAGAAACATAGTATCATGAAATGAAATTTTTTGTCTTCACTCAGTAGTTTATTAAACTACTAGTCATAATTTGTGTCTGAAGACACAATAAAATATAAAATTTGAGCGTCTAAAAAATCGATCCCATTATGTTAAGTTTTTTCAAAATATATTAACTATAAATTAATCAAATATTAAATGATTAAATATATGATAAAAAAGAGTAATGCGATATTTTTAGAGAATAAATATATAAATGATTAAACATATGATAGAAATAAGTAATGCGATTTGACGTTTGAGTCTGACAAAGGGATGATGGGTGAGGTAAGTGATTGGTGATGATTTTGAGGGAAAAAATATGACTGGAATAAATTCAAACATACTCCTGTTTTATTATATAGATTGTTGAGATTCAATATCATTTGACTTCCTTGGGCACTATTCTCAATTTTTTGTTTGTTCTTTATTCTAACTTTGACAATTTGCATTTGATAACTCTAGGATGAAGCATGATGAGCTAGGGAATTCACATGACAGATGATGAAGAAAGAGAGACCAATGGTAGCAGAATATATCGGTTAGGATTATGAATTTATTTGTCGTGTTATGTTATTTGGGTTAATGCTATGGAATATGATTTTCTTTATTTTTTCAAATACTGGCTTAAATGGTTGTGGTCTATATTTTACTTTTTATGGATGTGGATTGGGGATTGGGGATTGGGTTAAAAGTAAGATTTTATTGTGTTAAATATGTTGTAAATAGTTCAATAGATTGTTTTAGTTATGGTAATCGTGTTATGCGAGTTGTGTCAACCCAAACATTATCCATGTACTATTAAAAGGGTTGGTAACATAATTTAAATGTGTTATATAGGCCATCTTGGAGTTTTTGTGAGTTATGTTAGTATTATGTCATTCGACATGATTAACTAAGTACGAACACGGTCAATTACTAGTATATATATATTTGATACCATATTACTAAATTTTTAAATTTAAAATAAAAAAATTTTAAGTTTATTTATAACAATAACTTTTCATGTCAGATTATAATTTTTATGATTTAAGTGATAACTTTTATGAAACATTTATAATTTGAGAGTTATTTGCTCGATATTAACAATTTTAGAATCAATTATAATAACCTCAAAAATTGTAAATTACACATAAAAATTGTAAGTTAAACCATAAAAGTTATAAATGATTGTTATAACTTATAAATGACTCAAAAAAAATTATAAGCAATCATCAAACTCAGGTAAAAAAAAACTTACAAAATTTATAATATTGGCACAGTACTAAAAAAAAAAAATTTTCATATTACAGGAGACAACTCCATGTCAAAAAAACTCCATGTCATGATGTGACCATCTAGTTCATATACTGCAGGGTAATTAATCTAGCGTGAGAGTAAATATTAATAGAAAAATGTTATGCTTGTCATAATTTGAAGATCTAATATAATACAATTGTTGATTCCAAAAATTATTCATTGGGTAAAGAAAATGATTTGGGTAGTGGTGAGAGGTTCTTACAGGGAAATTCTCTCGTGGTCGACCCTCCAATGATTGGATGAGAGTTACGAGAATTGATTCTTCGATACTTAAGTCAATAAATAATTTAAAGGTATTCAACGCTTTCAAAGCTTGGAGTCCGACGAGTAATTAATACCTTTGAGTTTCAGATCAAGGTTCTTCCGATACTTTTTTGTTCAAATTTTTTGTTCTTAATATAATGGCACCTTCTATATATTAATGAGAGACTGTATATCTATATAATAAATTAAAACTGAGTTTGAATCAAAAAATTTGTCTTATGTTTTTTGTAGTTCATATTAATTATAAACAAAAAATAACTTATATCCAAAGGTCTACCTTATTTCTAATTTTTTACGACTCAGATCAATTAAAAAACATTGATTCGACGAATTAGATTGACCGACAAATTATGTTTTCCAGTTTAAGACACCTTTTATTTTTAATTATATCAAATTAATGATCTTCCATTTTCACATTCAATTCAAGGCTCCCTGACTTTCATATTCGTCCCTTAATTCAGACGCAAATCTCCCACCAAATCATTTACATATCTTCTCAAAATTATGTCTATCTTAATTCATTCACTCTTTGTATGATAATTAATTTATTCTCTTTAGTAGTTAGATATTTATCTTTTTGATTATACAGTGATAATTTTTAAATTCATTACTGATGAACTGGAGTGACACATTTGATTTTAGTATTTCATGAAAGCTATTTTTTTTTTCATTTATGCTTTTATCGAGTGAGTGAAAGATTTTTTTTTGTGTTATGTACCTCTAATTTTTTGATTAATACAAGCAATATAGAATTTTAATTTTTTAATATAAAGAGAATAAGAAATCATAGCTTTGAGTTTGGGGACTACTGCATATTTAGATAATAAGTAAATAAGTCCCACTTATTCTAATTTTCTAATTCAAGTAAAATATTTTTCAATTCAAAAAATAAAATATTTTTGGTACTTCATTCAATTCTCCATGAAAAACATAATTTTGCAAATTATTCTCGAGAGTGAAAAAGCATTTTGGAAAGGTTTACATTATGAAAGACTATGACATGAGTTATTTTTTAAAAAAATAAAAATTGGTATTGTTTACTATTTGAATTATACAAATTGTGTATTCAAATTGATATTATCCAAGGGTCGTGTTTTTAGAGTTTATTTTAATGATTTTTTTTTTTGAAAAATGAGTTTATATTGATTGATACTTTGTATTATACATTGCTTTCAAGTGTACCTTTTTTTAAAAAAAATAGTATCTTAAGGTATAGACAATAACTAGTATATATATATATATTCACTCTTGAATTTGCTATAAAAATTTAATAAAATAAATATTGATAAAAAAAAGGTAGTCAAAATAATCTCACTCCAACAATTTGAAAGACTTACCCTGTAAGCAGTCATGTGTTTTGTTATAAAAAAATAAAATGCATACAAAATATAACATGATATTCTACTGCAGCTAATTTTCTTAATAATTATCCTAATTCTTTTACTGTAAGAGCCAGGGAGGAGGTGATGGAAGCATGTTTGTCTGGAAGTGAGCAACAAGATACGAAATGAGAGAGATGCTAAGCCCTGCAGGTCGGTGGACCCAATCCATAGCCGCATATGGACATATTAGGGTGCGTGGAGCAGCATGAACAGCAACACCGCTACCAAGCTTCCTCTCTCTCTTAAAAATATTTTTGCCTTTGGGGTTGGAAGGGAGAGAAAAGCAGCAGGAAAATCAGTGAAGAAAGTAAAGTAAATTAAGGAAAGGAAAAGGAAAACGAATGGTTTGTGTATGTGTTTCTGTATCTGCATGACACCGAGCCACAGAGTAACCACACAGCATCCTTACTTTACAAAAACTTTCATTTAAAACAAGGAGACAGTAGAGGAAAAGCATCAAATGGCCATGGAATTCATTCTTTTCCTCCTTCTAAGTTGCCTTGATTTTAGCTTCATTTTCAGATCTTTACCCTTCTAGATTTCTGCCTTCTTAGATACACAGAAGCTCGAATCACTGGCTCTTCGGGTTTTGATATAAGGTTTGAGTAGAAAGCTTCAATTGCATGTGGTCTTTCATCTTTGTGACTTCAAGATTCAGATTGTTCAGTCTGAAGAGAAGAACAGCGAAAAAGCTCAAGGAGGTAGAAAATAAGAAGATTTTATTCAGAGATGGCTGGTGCTTCTTCTTCGGCAATGATCTTTAATATGAGAGAAGAAGATCCAAACCAGATGAAACAACAGCTTTCCCCAGCTCCAACTTCATCAACAAACCCAACTACAGCTCCCCAGAAGAAAAGAAGAAATCAACCTGGAAATCCAAGCAAGTATCAAACAATTTTATCGAAGATCTACCATATGTATGTATATATATATATACATATAAGACATGAATGAATCAATATACTATTTTCCTTGAGGAAACCCTAATTTTGAAAGTTCAACCAAGAATTGACATGGTTATATTTTAAAAGGTCATATTCTATCAGTTTTATGTTCTATTAGTTGTGATTTTTCTACTGTTTTCTTGTTTGGCATTTTTTTCTATAACAGATCCAGATGCAGATGTTATTGCGCTATCTCCCAAGACACTAATGGCTACAAACAGGTTTGTGTGTGAGGTATGCAATAAAGGGTTCCAAAGAGAGCAAAACCTGCAGCTTCACAGAAGAGGACATAACCTCCCTTGGAAGCTAAAGCAGAAGACTACAAAAGAGGTGAGAAGGAAGGTTTATCTGTGCCCTGAGCCCACATGCGTCCACCATGACCCTTCAAGAGCTCTTGGCGATCTCACTGGAATAAAGAAACACTACTCTAGAAAGCATGGTGAGAAGAAGTATAAGTGTGAGAAGTGCTCTAAGAAATATGCTGTGCACTCTGATTGGAAAGCCCATTCTAAAACCTGTGGTACTAGAGAGTACAGATGTGACTGTGGCACTCTTTTCTCAAGGTAATCAACCTATTTTTTCTGCTGAATTTTATGCGTAATTACACCGCAATTCATTGTTGTTCAGGGTTCAATTACAAGGTAAAAAATTGAGAAAGAAGCATCAAGATCAAGGTAGAAAAGAGAGAGAAAAGAAAGTGAAATGCTTGGCTGCTTCGGTTTAGGGGTTATATTCTTCGTGGAACAAGAGAAGAAACGTTCTGATGGGTTTTTTCTACAGTTGCAGATTACCCTTCTTTATCTTTCCCTTGTTTTTTTTTTCCTTCTAAAATTTTTCGGTTTTATTGGGTTTGGAATTTTGCTGGTACTGTGTGGAGGATAAGGGCAGAAAAAATTGCTCCACGTGAGTTAACTCTGCAAAACGCCCTGGTCGAAAAGGAAAAACAGTCATCTTTCTCTCTCCTAGGAACCTTCGCCCTTTTTGGTCTTCTTTTACCTCTTTCTCCTATTCACGTGCTGCCATGGCATGTACAGGTTCATCTTTACCAAGTTTGTTCTCTTATTACTTGGCTAGATGCGATCAGGTCTGTGCTCTGTCAGGTCCTCTTTTCCATGATTCCTTTTGAGAGTGTAGAAGCCAAGTCACCTACACCCTCCCCCTCCCCCCAAGCCCAACAAATAAGGGACTCATCAATTATTTGAATGCCATGTTTAACCATGGTCACAGTTCTTAAGCTGGGTGTCGGCCCCGTATCTAAAAAACAGTATTCTAGGATTCCAGAACATTGTTTCTAAGGGTTCAAAATATGAGTTTTTATAGATTTTATTTAATGTTTTAGTGCACTTGATGACCTGAATTTTTTTTTTTTTGACATACTTCGTCGTTGCATTGACTGAATTGGTTTCCAGGTTTTATTTATTTTTTTTTTAACACCAGGTTTGATTGATTGTTCTTCATCATTTGCAGAAATTCGCTCTGTTGCATTTATTTAATAAACAGTCCTAGAAATATAGGTCACAATTGTTTGCTCAATTATTTTCAAGTTGAGCAAAATTCTATGGCCTACCAACTTCAATTATATACTGTCTTCTTAGACCAATTGTGGTTGTTTTCTTCGAAATCATCAAATTCTTCTCCACCAACTGATGCACAAAATTAAGGGTTAGCTCATGCACAAGTCAGCCACTCGATAAATACCTTAACTTGACTTTGGTCAAAAGTTTGATATTCCATAAGTTGAAAATGTTTCTTGGAGCCACCTTCCCTGGATTTAACCTTTTCGGATGAAGAGGAAGCTTTGCGAGTGGGCTGAGGTTGACTACCGGCCATGAGTCCAAATTGCCTCAGTTGATGGGGGTTTCTAAGTTATCCAAAAAAAGAAAAAAACATGAAGCACAAAATTCATTTTCTTTTTATTACCATTATAGCATCCACTATTGCAGTTCAGCATCTGTATTTCCTTCGTTTTTTAGGTACTGAACTGCAACCTTGAGTTTTTTTCAATTTTAGAGTATTTCAGCTCTCATATATATGAAACCCTGATATTATTCACTTGTTAAGGCCAGGATTGGAGTATTATATTGGATTGACTGGCTCCCGTCTTTTCCGAAAAATAACAAAATCCTTTATCAAGAATTGGACCACACGGGAAGATGGTATGCATTATAGTAATTAAGCATCCATCCATCCTGGTAAATTCATAATCATCTTCGACTGATTATCTGCCAACACATGGGCTGGACTGGAGGCGCCCATTTTTCAGATTGGTACCCATGTCATGGATGCATGCTGGGTAAGTAGAGGTAGGTGCATGGGAGTCTCATGTACTAGACGGACCACCTTTTTTTAACCCATATGAGGGATTTTTTACTCAAATGCAGTAAAACTCATGAAACTCATAGTACTGTGTTTATATGTGACACAAGTTTTTATTTTTATTTTAGTAGATTTATGTGAGAAATATTTTACATAATTCGTTGACGTAATGGCTGTATTTGGTTAATAATCGTTTCAGGCGTGACAGCTTTATCACTCACAGGGCCTTCTGTGATGCACTGGCTCAAGAGACTGCAAGACATCCCCCCACCTTAAACTCCATTGGCAGTAGCCATTTGTATGCAAGTAGCAACATGAGCTTCGGGTTAACTCAGGGAGGGCTCCAATCTTCTTCAATTCATGATCAAAATCAGACATCTACTGATATATTCCGACTTCCTGGTGCTCGGACAGGGCAATTTGATAGTCTCATTGGACATTCTGTTGGTTCAGCATTCCGACCAACACAAACTGTGCCTTCATCTGCTTTCTTCATGCAAGAATCAAACCAAAATAGTCATGAAGAAAACCAATCTCAACCTGGGTTATTTCCAAACAAGCCATTTCATGGACTAATGCAAATTTCTGATCTCCAGAACATTGCAGACAACCCTCCTTCTGCTTCCAATCGCTTTAACCTCAGTTTTTTTCAAAACAGCAGCAACAATACCAGCATTGACAATGGCAGTAATGCCAACAATATCAGTAGCAATCTATCATCTTCCAGTTTATTGGTTCCAAATCAGTTCAACAGTGGACATGCAAGTGGTAGCAGTGGTGACGGCTCCAACTTATTCTCAGGTAATACATGTTAGGATATGTGGTCCTGTATAGGTGGTGATAGAGATATGATAAGATAGAATATACAGCAAGAGTCCATCATGTTTTTCTTCAACAGTCATAATCAAATACAGACATGCTACACCAAATACTAGAGCACTAATATTATTAATACATAATTTGGAGGCATAATAAATTGTGATCAATGAATTGATAATAGAATGCATTTAATGATGGGACCTCTTACTACATTAAATGCATTTCCATGTCAATTCATTGGTCACAATGTATTATGTTTGATACATATATAGCGAATATATTCACAGACAAAATGCCTAATGTGCTACATCTGATGTCATTCACTAGTGATTGATTATATAGGATTCAACTTTATTTATCAAATGAGAAATAAATAAGATAAAAATAAATATCGGTCATGTTCATTATTTATGTTTATACAGACTAATGTAAATAGTGATAAAGTTTTTTGAATCCTATTATATCTCTATCAATTGGACACAAATTGAACCCAAAAGATTAAGATGAATTTCGGAGTGACTTGTTCCAATCTTTAAATAAAAGCTCTATTTTGTTTTTTTACCCATAAACTATGGGATTGCAATTTTAGCTCACGGGTGGGTTTTTCCAACAGGTAATGTAGTGGGTGATCATATTAGTTCCGGCTTCCCTTTTTTCTACAATTCATCAGTTCAAAACCACAACGTTGCTCCACCTATGTCTGCAACTGCACTGCTTCAAAAGGCTGCCCAAATGGGTTCAACCACAAGCAATCATGGTTCCTCTTTGCTGAAAGGATTCGGAAGCAGCACCTCGAGCATAAAATCAGATCGCCACATCGCCACCGGTAATTTTGGTGACAACAATGGAAGCAACCTCCATGACCTGATGAATTCTCTTGCTGGTGGTGGTGGATCCTCCGTCTTAGGAGGAGGGTCTGGAGGGATCAACGCATACTGTGGACATGGACAAGACGAACATTATGGTGGTTTCAATGAGAATGAACTTAACTTGGAACAAGCACAATCTAAGCTGCACGACAATCTCGCCGTTAGTACTGTTAGAGGCTCCGATGGACTGACCAGAGACTTTCTTGGGGTCGGAGAGATAGTGAGAAGCATAAGCGGTCGGTTTTCACAGAGAGAGCAGCAACTTGGCATTGATATGAGTTCATTGGATTCAGAAGCAAAGAGTGCGATGAAAAGCCACACTTTTGGAGGTGGGAACTTTCAGTGAGAGGAATTAGTGAGGAAACGGGAGCAACTAGGAAGAGGTACGTAAACTATGGACATGTTTAGGTGATTGCATAGTTTCCAATTCTACTTTTAGCCCTAAAATTTTATATTAATATCTTCACCTAGATATGATTCAAATGATATGATTCAAATGAATAAGTGTGCAATTACAATTACAATTACACGATCATCCATGTAAATTTTAATATTTATTATTTTTATTTATTTCAATATTTCTACAATTAATAGTTGCAAATACTTCAAACTAAAATCTTAGTCCAAAAATTATTTTATGTTTACTTTAGAATTATTCTAATATTATTGGCTTTTGTCAATTGCCACATCGTTAAGTTTTTAATTTTTCTGGTTACTGAGTAATGATGCACTGCAAATGTGTCTTACCGCTTCAATTTTTCATTGGTTTTCAAATATTTTTTGGAGTAATGCGCGTAATAGAAATCTAGTTTGAGAATTTTATTTAAGAATCTAATGTAATAGCTAGCATCGTTGCACAAGCTGTAGGTCTTAAAATTTTAACGGGGAACATTAATCTAATAACAGTAATACATTCTGATGATGTACAAAATAGTCTTGTACAATATCAATAGTCGAGTGTGTAATAAGGTGTAATTAATAGATAATAAATAAAACAATCAATAACAATAATGTAAATATTGAGTTAAGACAAAGATATACAGTGGTTTGGTCCGGGTAACTTACTCTACTCTGAAAAATGGCAACGGTTGCCGGGGGGTTTTTATTGATCAAACAAGATGGACAAGAGAGAGAACAATGATTAGTTCCGAGAGAGATACAATAGTTAGGAGAGAGAAAGTGTGTATAGAAAGGTGTAGAGGCAAAGCTCAATGTGTAGTGAGATGCCCTCTCAATGGAGAGAGCTTATAATTTATAGACATGGTGAGGCAATGAGGGTACTAATTCTTCGGAGAGGATAGTTACAAAAGGTAAGTACAATTATGATAGCCTTGATCTTCAAGAGTGGGTATTCCGATAATCTCTCTCCCACGTACTCTAATATTCTTGGACTCTTTGAATCTTGGATTGGGTTGGATTGATGCTCTGGGCTTAACTTGCCTTGTAGTTGACTTGGGCTTATTAAATTTATTGGATCTGGTCCAGTTAGATCTGGGCTCATCACATTCGGTTACTAATTTAAATCCCATATATCATAAAAGAAGCATTATTATATTTTATTTTCATATATGCCAGTCTTGTTTTAAAGGCCATAGTGATGGCTGAGTAGGTGGTTTTTGTTTGTTATAGTGTCTTCTTCTTCTCTGTGCATTTATATTCGCCTTTTAGTGTGTGTGTATGTATCATTTTAGTAAGTCACGGGTAGTGCTGGGTTAGGGACCTTGCATATTCTGCTATTTTGGTTTGTGAAGTTTGTTAGAAAGTGATTGCATATTATCTGGGGATAGGTTCAGATGGAAATTATATAAGGGATTTTGATCTTCAAAAGTTGGAACAAACACAAGACAATGAATAAAGATTATTTTGTTAATTGGTTTCTGTTCTTCTTCTATTACTACCAACATTATATTATTTTTTGATGTTTTATTCAGTTGCTACCCTCCTCATCCACGAAGCATTGCATCAAATATTTTTTGCACAACATAGTCAAGTATTATTAATTCTATTATTTTTGTTTTATTTTTTTACAAATTTACGTTCTCATAAATAGCATCATGATGTACCTCCCATATAAATTCACTAGTTATTGACCATGCTTAAAGACACAGAGTAATAAAAAAATTGTCAATTATAAATATATTTGTATTCACACTCAAAATCAAATCACAAGTATAGAGGAGATAAATAAATTTAAGCACTAATTATTATATGGGTGAGCGATGATAACGGTGATAGACAGCAGTGGTGGTGGTAGGCGACGATGATGATTGTGGTGGGACAAGCGATGACTATGGTGGTGGTGACGGTGGTAGATTGTGGTAGTGGGTAGTGACGATGGTGTGGTGGTGGGTGACATTGGGTGCTTGTGAGTGACGATTGGTGGTGAGTGGTGGCGAATGACGATGGTAGTTGTAGGTGTAGTGGAGGTAAGTGAAAATTGGTGGTGACAATGAGGGGTAATGACGGGTGGTGGTGGGGGGTAACAGTGGGTGGCGACAATAATGGGCGACGACGGGTGGTGGTGGGTTGTGATAGTGGGTGGCCTTGTAGGTGGTAGGGCTATGGCAATGGGGTGGCGACAGTGGTTGTGGTGAAGTGTTTTGTAAAGAAGTGATTTTAAAGAAGTAAAAGTTTTTTTTTTTACTTTTATTTACTTACTTATTTAAGTGGTAAAATTACTTTTTACTTATTTCGAAGAAATTAAAATAAGTTGTTCCAAATACTATTTTTTTTAAAGTACTTATAAGAAGTCATAAGTTTTAGAAGCACTTTTGAAAAGTCATTCTAAATAAACCCTTTGGGGCCCTATTTTTTCTATTGAATTTGGGGAGGTAATATTAGTCGTTGAATTAATTTTAAAGTAAAATTTAAAACGATCTCAATAGTGAAAAGTAAAAATCATTTTTTGTGTTCAACTTTATTATATAGACTAGTATTGAGTAATAAAAAAGTTTCAATCATAAATATATTTTTATTCACACCCAAAATTAAATCACAAACATAGAGGAAAAAGAAAAAAAAATTAGCATCGGTTATAGTGGGGGTGAGCTGGAAGTGGTGATGGGCGGTAGTGGTGGTGGTGGAAGACGGTGATAGTTGTGCTTGACGGCGACGACCATGGTGGTGGTGGTAGCTGTGGGTGGCAACGGTGATGGTGGTGTTGGATTTTAGGTGACAGTGTTGGCAGTGACAGTCATTAGTGACGACGGCGATGGTGGTGAGGCAACGACGATAGCGGTGGTAGGTAATGACGGATGCTTGTGGGCAATGGTGGTGGTAGGTGTTGGCGAATGATAGTGGAGGAGGTAGGTGACAGTGGGTGATGGCGCTGGTGGGCGACAATGGGCGGTGGTGGGTTGTGGTATTGGATGGCAGTGGGTGGTGGCGGTGGACGACGGTAGTGGTGAGATAATGGTGGTAGTGATAATAAATATAAAAATGAAATGATGATAGTGGTGGGTGATGACGGTAGGCGGTGATGGTAGTAATCGGTGGTGGGTGACGATTGTGGTGGGGTAGTTGTGGCATAGGTGGTGGCGGGGTGGTGATGGTGGCGGTGGTGGTGGTAGGTGTGGAGGGCGTGAGTAATAGTGGGTGGCAGCGGTGGTGGGCGATGACGGGTAGTTGTGATAGGTGTGTTGGGAGAAGGTGATAGTGGGTGATGACGGTGGTGGGCGACGACGGGTGGTGGTGGACAACAATGGTGGTGGTGGGCACCGATGGTGGTGGGATGATGGTGGTAATGATAATAAATATAAAAATAAGATGATGGTGCTGGGTGGTGGCAGTGGGTGGTAATGTTAACAATTGGTGGTGGTGCTGGCCATGGTGGTGGCAATAATGGTAGTTGTGGTAGAGTTGGTGGTGGGATGACGACAATAGCCGTGGGGGTGGAGGTAGTGGTGATGATGGGGGTGGTGAGGTGGTGACAACGGTGGTTGTAGTGGCAGTGGTGGGGCGGTGGGGGTGGTGGTGGTGGTGAAGTGTTTTGCAGAGAAGTGATTTTAAAGAAGTAGAAATTATTTATTTATTTTTTTATGTACTTTTTAAGTGGTAAAACTATTTTTGTTTTTTCTGAAAATAATTAAAATAAGTTGTTTAAAACACTAATTTTTTTTTTAAAAGTGGTTATGAGAATTTATAAGTTTTAGAAGTTGAAAAGTCACCCCAAACAAACCTTTCATATGCCTATTTTTCCTATTAAATTTGGAGAGTTAATATTAGTTATCGGATTAATTTTAAAGTAAAATTTAAAACGATCTCAACCGTGAAGAGTAAAAGTGATTTTTTATATTGTACTTTATTATATAGATTTTTTTTTTCATGCTTTAAATATTATCTCAAATGCTCACCAAATTTTGCCAATTATAATTACGACACTAACAAATATACTAATGGCAGTTGCCTAAGTTTTGTTTATTTTAGTTAGGGGTGTACATGGGCCAGGTCGAGGTAGGCCCGTGAAATTTGTTCGGGCTTGACTTGTGTAGTGTAGGCTCAAATTTTTACCTAAGTGAATTATCAGATGAAGCAAGCCAGACTTCGAGTAAGGGTAAACTACTTGTAGCCCAACTCACAAGCCTACTGGGTGGCCCTGTGGGTAGGCTTGCTAGGTGGACCAACTAGCAAGTTTTTTTATATACAACTTCATTTAAAAATAATGAATATTTTTGTAATTTAATATTTGTGTAAATTATATTTTTGAATCAAAAGTAGAGTCAAAATGAATAAAAATAAAATAATAAATAATTTTATTTTTGATTGGGGGATGAACTACTTCCTATAGAATGGATACATCCAAACTAAATTGACACATACTCACTTATCTATCATTTGTATTACTCTACGCTTTAAAACTTGTATGCTTATACATGAAAAAAGAAAATAATACATTATTTATAGTATCTAAATTTTTAAAACTTTAAATTCCGACATTGGTAGACTTATTTCAAAATTTTAAATTTAATAGTTTAAAAATATAATTTTTTGTCAAAGGAAGGGTGGGTTGGCTGGACTTGGAGGGCGGGCTCTTAGGCCGGGTTTTTTTGGGCGAGCTATTGGGCTGGGCTTCGGGCCAAGTAATGAGTTTGGGGACAAACTTATGCACTTTTTTTAAAGATATTAGGCTCGGGTTTGGGTCAAGTCTATCGGGTTTTGGGCCTATTTTTTCGGTTGGGTAATAGGACCCATGAGTAACCCTACCCATTGACACCCCTAATCTTAGTTGAGGCTACAGTGTTTGTCTCAATCTATTCCTCGTCCATCCCATAGAACTCGAGATCCTTTGAGTTGAATTTTTCTATGGTGGTATTGTACCATAACAAAAATTTGATTCACACACTTTTCGTAATCTCACGGAAATATGATTTGGTTTATATATCAATGATTACTTGCTGGAAATATACAACAATTCAATTTCATATTTGTTTTTTTATTTTGAACTGGAATTTCATATTTGTTGAACTGTGACTATTTTGTAGGAACATGCACTGGTTATAGAAACATCTATGTTCCTTTGCTTGTTGA